CGTTGGCTCTGTTCCGCGGGTGTTTGTACACGTCAGTTGCGCTGGTATGAGTTTATAATAAAGACAGATTGGGATAGCCTGGATTGTTATCGCAAGCCAGGACCATGCTCTCCAAACCAACAGCCATGGAAAGCTAGAATGCGGTTTCATTAGCCGTTCTGAAGCTGAGCCCATCAAGTCACCATCTTGACCCGCACAAACCACACGAACCGCGTTGGGGAATGACAGCCAAATCCAAGCCCGGAAACCGTTCGATTGATCTGCCTGGAACCTTTGCCGGCAGATAGAGCACATGTTACTTCATCCACTGTTCTGGAACTGGTGTCCTCAGGTTACAATTTTCGGTTTGAGGCATCTGTGATATTCAAGTGCCGCTTACAACCCGGGTGTGAAATTTAACACCCACATTTACACTGGCGATGCACTTTTCTATCATCAACACTTCTTTGTTGGTTCAGCTCCATCTTCCAATCATAGCGGTCATTCTATTACTCTCTGTGCTGCACAGGGATGTGCATGAATGTGTCAACAGCACTGAGCAACCCCCATGTGTGCACTTTCCAGTGGCTTGCTGCAAATCCGCTGGGAAGGGGCTTCCCGGCCTGCCGGCGTGCCCTCCCATACCTATCGCCAAGCGAAACTCACCGGGTTTTGATAGCCACCACTGACGGACAATAGATGAATATTACTATTAACTGTCATCAGAAGCATCATCCTTGCCTTTTCTTTAATTAGTCGTCTTAAGCACATTCAGTACCACAGCTGTTCAAAATGCCTTGCTCTATTATTTGCTCCTGCTAATACCCAATATCCTTTTTCGCCTGTTTCATATGCCTCTACTGAATGCATCTGTTCAACATGCATGCCTTTATGCATCTACAAGTTTTAGGCACTGAGCCCTCTCATCAATGCCATTCGTTCCTGCCAGCCTCAAAAAGGACTATGATGTTGATAATGACCATGCTACTAGGACATATCTATGACAACACCTTTGTCATTGTGTTGCGTTTCAGCAATGACTGGCATTTATTGATGTGGAAACATTGGAATGGCTGGAATATAGGCCACACCAAATTATTTTTGAGTAGTAATGCATGCAAGCGCAGGGATGGAAACACCGCTGGTAATTCTGATTGGAGATTCACATGATGATAAAAGATCAGCATGTTCTTCCAGAAATGTTACAGCACAATGGTTTTGACATGGCAAGAAAACAGTTAACATTTGGCAGAATCGGAAAAATGACACACCTTCATCATCCAGGTCTCCTGCAATGTCCCCTCCCCCTCCAACGGCTTACTAAACTTTCCCACATGATCATAACTTCGTGCTTTGCTGTCATATAACCACACACAACGGCTACCATGATTGGTGAGAGCATCGACTTTTCCAGGATTCCACATACTAATGCTGAAAGCAAGGACCATCAGCCATATATAACAAACTAAAGAGGGGTGTAGCTTCATATTCATAGGAGGTTTCCAGCCCCCCCCCCCCCTCGAACCATCCTGGGCGATCACGTTTCATGAAATTAGGGTCTCGCGGACAAGCTCTAGCACGTCATCTTCAGGTATGGCTGAGGAATCCTTGTCTTGACAAGCAAGAAATATCATTTTCACATTTGTGAAGGACCAAAATTAAAACCTGTCTAACATCTATAACATTTTTCAATGCATCAAAATGGCAATGAGACTGTGACATTGTTGTAAATTGTCCAATACTTAACAAGTTGAATGTGACATTCTTTTGTGACAACTAAGCCACCCGACCACACGCCAGGTGGCACCCAACACATCACTGAACGGAGTATTGTCCGAGCCAATGTCTCTAACATCGCTCTAAGATTCAAAATTATGTTTTTAGAACAGTGCACCTGGGAAAAGAACTGCACCCGACGTACACGCAAACGTACGTCGCCCGCAAATCTCGGGATGGGTTCCAGCCTCGCGCGTTCGCGTACGGACGTCAAACCGCCGCCTGTTAAGCATAAACGAGCGGCGTTTACGCTAAACGGGCGGGTGAAGTCTATTAAAAAGATTTCTAGTTAACTTATATCAAATAGAAAAACAGCTCAGGGCAACGTCCGCGGCGCTAGTAAACGCGATGGGATGGACGTAAGCGGACAGGGGCGGGCACAGACGTGTGCGATGGGGACCAGGATTTATTTGAGGTGGCAAACACCGCTCACTTTTACGGAGACTGCAACCTACGCTATCCTTGTCCTTACTTCCGACATCGCGGGCGCGCAGGCTCAAACCTTTTGATAATTTGTTTCACTGGTCGACGCTGCAAAAATAATAAACGTTATAACGCACACATGTGATGGTCTCGTTCATTTTTGAGCTTTTCGCGACCCACTCTACCCAACACCAATGAGACCCCTCATTTCTTTCTGAGAAAGGGCATCTTGAGATGAACGCTAGAAGAAACATGGGACTGAAGGGCTATTCCGTGCAACTGCGGGATGTCTTCCGGCTGCCATTCCGGAGACACGGGGCGGATCCCCTCGCCGATCTGGAGGTCCTTAGAGGATACATCATATCACATTGGTCCCCTCCCTGACGCGGGAGGCCTTCTGACACGCACAGACCGCAGTTGACCTCGAATCGACGCAAGGACGCTTATTGACGCAACAACATCCGTGACTGCCGCAGGTGTCCCATTAATCGGCACGTATGCTCCAGTTCAGCATCATGCTCATCATCATAAGCTATCATGTTTCCTTTCATTTTCCGAGGGTCCATACCAGCGTAGGAGGTCCGCTGTCATTCGGTGTCCCGTTCCCTGTCGTGTTCGGTGTTCTTCGTCCTGTCTAGCAAGTTTTCCCTTGCCACCGACACGAGGTCCTTTGTGGACATAGGAAAACCTGTGAGACACTGTGAGCCGCTGAACGATGGGGGACCCCCGCATTGTTGCAGGGGCCCCGACTAATGTGAATCGTGGCGCGGGGTCGTCCCTGCTTCGGAAATGGGCCCCCAGAGCTCAGACGGACACGCAACCGACTGTTCGGTGTTAGTGATCCCTGGCAGAGACAGAGGAATGGTCTATCTGAGGAGTCACCAATGGGTGCAAGAAGCCCTCTCACTGACATTTGAGATTACGGCCCTATGAGTGGGGGTCCTTACTGCGACCTACAGCAAACTCTTCGGGCCATTCAGCCTTCCAATTGGGCTCTTGATCTTTGGTCCCAAGAAACCGTTCGGCCCCTCTCCGGGCCCGTCAAACAGCGCTCCTGGCCGACCCGGGCCACCTCCCGCCACACGATCCCTGTTACACGTTGTAGCCCCTAATCGACACACGAGCCCCTCATTGTGTTAGGGACCCTAAAGATTGCAAATCGCGGGCCCGGGCCTCGTTCCTGCGCGGGAAGTGGGTCTCACTATAATGGGGATACAAAACTCTAATGAGACGGCCAAAATACAAACCCTCTGACTGACGTTTTGGGTCACGGCATTACGGTTGGGGGACCAGGCCAAGTCCAATCGGGGCCCTGAACTTTGGTCCCCAGGGGCCCTCCGGCCCCTCTTCGAACCTCTTCAAACAAAGCCCGTTACCGACCAGGGACCACTAGTCGAGATATGTCATCATCATGATATGTTATGCACTGCCATGTGCATAACATGTTATGTTATGTTATGTTATGCACATCATGATATGTTATGCACATCGTGATATGTTATGCACTGTGCGCCCCTGACCAGCGCAGGGGCCCCAGCCACTGTTTCAGGGACCCAAACCAATGCGAGTCGTGGCCTCGGTCTTGCTCCTGCTGGAGAAATGGTCCCCAAGATTTCGGACTTACAAGGAGCCAACTGTTCGGTGTTCACGGCATTGTGTCAGAGGTTCTCAAACGGTGCAAGAGGACCCCTGGCTGATATTTCGGGTCGCGACCCTGCGGCCCGCGATTCTTTATGTGACCTACATACAGCAGGTCCTTCGGGCCCTTATGTACTCTAACCGGGCCTTTGATAGCCGCTTCCGCTGGGCCGCCCGGGCTCTTCGGGCCTCATCGAACACTGCCCTTGGTTGGATCGGGCCCCTTACGAGCACAGGGCCCTGCGTTAGGCGCTGTGGGCCCCTGGCAGATACAGGGGCTCCGGCCAGTGCAAATCACTGGCTTTGTAGCTGATTAGGAAGCAACCGCTCAGGCCCGTGCCGATACGGAGCGGACTGTGCGGTACTGGTGGTACCTGACCAAAATATGAACTCTCATCGACTCAGGGTGTCCCCGATGGGCGCTGAGGGTGTCCTCAAACGCTGCGTCTGGGGAGACCCTTGCCGCCACAGGGCGCCCGTCAGGCGCTGTGGGCCCCAACGAGTGTAAAACGCTGTCTCTGGCTTTGTTCCTGCTTGGAAAATGGGACCTCAGGCCCATGCCGCCACCAGGCCGATTGTGCATTACTGGTGGTGCATGACCGGCATAAAGGCCCTTTTCGACTCAGGGGCCTCTGATCAGCGCGCAGGGCTCCCTGACTGGCATCGGGTGCCCGGTCCTGTAGACCGGGGCCCGTAAATACGACCTCCGGCCGGGGTCCCGGGCCTTTAATCGTGGGCCCCGATGGGCCGCAACAGCCCCTCGGAGCCTAAGGGAAGAGAGGGGAAATACCCCCTCCGCTCCCCTCTATCTGCGTCGCTGATCGGCAGTGCGATCCCCTCCCGGGGTTTCCCACTTTGGACGGCTCACACCTTGCTTGTTCTAACTACGTGCGTCATAATGTCACAGCCTGCTCAGAACCGTCTGTTTTCTTAGGATTCTTGTAATAGCTAACGACCCTTTTGAGCTATATTAAATACTACAAAGAAATTGAAAGATAAGCTAGGCTATTGTCATAATGAGAAACAAAATAAAAACAATATTATGATCAGTTAAGGTAAAGTGTCAAACAGCTGTTTTTTGTGTCATTGCACCTGAAACATGCATGCTAAAGTGTTTTAAATAGCTCTTGGAAAAACTAAGCGGTACTATATTGCCCAACCGGTAAATTTCCATGGTTCCCTCGCACGGTTCTGCGAGGAGAGCGATCCGCACTAAGCTTGGGTGACGGGTCGCGGCGTTACAGTGTTAAGAGCAATAACCTGATAGGTAACGGCGTGTGATTACTCGTCGCACCCATCTAGACGTAAGTGTTGTCTTGGCAGTGCCGAATGGACGTTGGAGAGTCCCGTTGATAGACACGCACTACATATGTACTACATTACGTCACTCGTTGACATTACCTGCTCTCCTGTCACTTGAAGTTGGCACCTAAAGCAATATTTAGCCCAAGCACCTTTCCAAGAACGTTTTCCACGCATTAACATGGAATCACCGGTGTAAATAGCTCTTGGAAAAGCTAAGCCGTAATATATTGCAAAATCGGTAAGTTTCCAAGGTTTCCTCGCACGGTTCTTCAAATAGAATGATCCACACTGAGCAATGCCAAGGTTCCAAGGTTAGAGCATAAATGTACTTGTTTTACGATTATGTACAATATGTTCTGCCTCAAAAATGATGATGGATGTACAATGCTCTTTTTTAACATTAGGTACCAATGTGTACCATGACCAAATCAGTTAGGTAATCTACAAGTGCAGGGAGTTAATTTACAAATGCAAAATGAGTTTTTGTGTGTGACATCATTCTGGCATTCCAAGCCACAGTCTGCATTCCAAAGTCAGTCTGCGGAGTGCAGTACATCTGGCTTAGCAAATTCAAGTATGTCCAAGGGTCTGAGTACACAACATATATTTGTTGCAGTATGTTGCAATCAGTCACATTTTGAAAGGAATGTAATATAGTTAATGACTCTAATATACAATTACCATTTTTGTTAAGTAGTGGTTATATATTTTTGAACCCCATATGTATGATGGGGGATACACACTGCCATCCAGCTGCAGTGTCAGAAGCCTATTTAATCAACATCTTAACTTAATTCAGTGTTATGGGAGCCAAGTATGTCTGAAAAGCATCATCCACTGTACCAGAAAGGTACAAGACACCTGTGTGCAGAACCAGAAGCATCACACACCAGACTCAAGCCAGGCCAGATGGTGCTTGATTTTCTGAATTGTGCAACAATTTTTGCTTGTTAACCTGTTTTGTTTTTTTTTTGCCAGAAATTTCCTTTGCAACATCATAATATTATGTTCAGCATAGTATCTCTTTTTGTAGTCTAGACTGCAGTTGACAGACTGCAGAAGGTGGATATATATAACAACTGTGAGTAATGTTATGCCATGAAAATGTCATTGCTTACATGGCAGAGGGTCAGTAATAGCAGACCCATGTGGTATTAACACAAAACAGAAAACCAGTCATTTTGCCAGCATCCCATTAGTGGTGTATGTCAGCAGGATATTGTGAATGTTGCCATCACTGTTTGTACCTGATTTGTGGCTGTGCTTTGTCATAGGAATGTCATGAAAGTGGGAAATTTTGGCAAAAGCTTAGCCTGCCTCTATTTTCTCATCTATTTGGCACATTTTCCTCTCAATGTCACAGAGAGGGCTAGAGCTAGGATTAGGAAAGGAGGCTGGAGACCTCTCAAATGAACAATAATCTGCACCCCTGAAATGCCAGTGGCCAGTGACTTACATGAGTAACAGCTGCTTGACATTTGCTGGGAACTTGAGACCTACAACCATGTGTAATCTGGAGTTTGCATGCCACTCTCCGAGAGCGTCCCAAGATTGTGGCTCAGTTATGCTATGACAATATTTAAAGATGTGTTCATAGAATCTTTGCAATGAATAACTGAGTGGCCCTTATTTAATGATGTGCTGTGTTGCTCTGGCATACACAAGTGAGTGGTATTTTGCAATACCATTCACAGCATGGCTTTAAAGCAATAGTCATTCCATTAGCTTTAAATAATAATCAACCATGTGTCCCATTTGTATTGTCATATTCCGTGCTTGGAGCAGGAAAGCCAGTCATTAATGCAATATCCCTACCATCCACAGGTTTGTCAGCTACCATGGATCCATCGAGAAGCATTCCCCAAGACACCTTTGAGCAGCCTGAGGAATCAAAGCTGGGGAGGAAAATCCGGGAGTCCCCTTTCATGGTGGCAGGTACTGCACAATTTTGAACCAAATGTGAGGTGGGGATGCAGCATTTTGAGGATCAAGGCATGGACAAATGTGAAAGAAGCATTTTGTTTGGCTGGCAACATCAACATCATGACTGGAAATTTGCAACTGTTGTTTGCATATTGCAGGAGCTGTGAGGCAAATCACCTCTGACATCAGGTGGTTAGGCCAGGATGCACAAAACAATTACTACTCAGCATGATCAATGTCAAAAATTCATTTGATCAAAAATGTTTGGATCAAATATGTAAAAATAATAGAAACAGTCATTGCCTTTGTCTCTGTGGGACACCAGCACACCAGTGCAGATCTTGAGGAACCTATTCTGTGTTTTTCAGGTCTGGGAGGTCTGGTGGGAATTGTTGGCTACAATTTGTACCAGTTGAAAAACAAGCCAAAGGAGGTGCCACTGTCTTTGTACCTCATCCACATGCGCGTGGGGGCGCAAGGATTCGTCGTCAGCTGCCTGACGTTGGGCGTTTGCTACCAGATGTACAAGGAGCACCTGCGTCCTAAGATAGAGAAGTGGCGCGAGGCCTCTCACCCAAAATGATAAATAGCGTGCTTAGTTCTTAGTACTGCTTTTGTGAGCATGTTCGCTCTGGGTGAATGCTCGTTTCCTTGATCATACGACCAGATGATTAATGTGCGTAAACCACGGGTTGCTGCTGATTGGTACAACTGGCGGTCAGTAAATGCCCGTCGGCAGAGCTTCGAGACATGTGCTCGGTTTCGGTTCCCCATCACCTGTGTGCGCAATGATGCCCGATTGTGCGGGCCGGCTATGTTGTTTCTGTACGTGCTTGCGATGGTTGATGTGGAGCTGGGGTCGACGGTAATACATGTCGAGCCGCGGAAACGTGTGCGAGAGTTTACGACACGGGATGCACCGGGGGCATACCGACGACATACCCGGGATACCGATGTCTGTGCGCAGATTGCACCGCAGACGGGGTGTCCGCGCGCACAGACATCAATGCAGTTTCAACCGCGCCGGAGTCGTCCGTACATAGGGCTCCGTGGTCCGTCTGTTTCTCACTCAGATGTCGACCCCATGTGTTCCTAGAGCGCCTAGCTGTTGGCGCCCTGGGCACAAGCGGGCATCGCAGTGCTTGGCTGACTGGGGGAGACGTCGCGGCGTTCAGGCGCGGCGCTGGGAATGGCTGTGATATTCATGTTCTGCGTCTGGCCTGTGCAGAACCGCCTGGCGCCTAGCACACGCTGGTACTAAGCGGGTGCTGAACGTAAAGTTATGCCACCGCGCTCCGCGTGGAGAGCGCCGTGTCGAGTCATGCTGAGTTGAGTTGTGCTCAGTGTTGCGGTCACGGGTTACCGCGGGACTGTCGTCGCGTGACCACTCGGTGAAGTTAACACAAACATTTCATGAGACCGCTCGCGTCACCAGTTTGCGGGATGTTACCACGCCGGCGAAGACGGCGGGCCGCGGAGGCGCGACGGATCTAGATGGAGCGAACTCCGCTCACAAGTCCCCCCCCTCCCCCTTCTCCGGGGGGGGGGAGGCGATTGGCCCTGGAGGGGGGCCCACCACACCAACAGTGCACTCTCCTTCAGATCTGAACATGTCAGATCGCCCAGTGAAGCAGGCTCCTCCGTGCTGAGACCAGGCCTCGTCCATACGTGACCAGGCCCCCACGGGCCAAGCGAATATTCCCTGGCTGACCGCACGCCACCGACCTTAGGCGGCAGCCGACCATCCGTCGCCCCGGCTGTTCTCGAGGCCATGGCATCCAACCATCGGCGCGACCGCCGTGGTCTGGATCAGCTTGCAGCCTAAAGTTTGTTAATATGTGTCGTAGAAGTGTGTATTAACAGTGAGTTACTTGCATGAATATGTTTTATTCGGTGGAACACATTGAAAAGCACTTGCCATGAGTTTGCTGTTGTCGCTTTGATAATTCAGCCAAGTTGTGGCAACCAGGTGTTAGCATTTCAGTTCGTCGGAATAAGACAGCTTTGAAATTTGCTTGTTCAAATAAGAGCTTCCGCTAGTTCAGGGAAAACTAAACTAACAGGTTTTATACCAGGATAAATACCTGAACGGGTACTGCGAGACAGGTCAAGGTAGAGATAGGGCAAGGCTGATTTCGTTTACAATAGTTTTGTCATGCCACTTTCACACCGACGACACGGGACCTGGGACATTCTGTTAACAGCATTATTTGCCTTCACCAAAAGTTAAGTGTTTAATATCGTGCGAATCTCAAGCACACCACCATCGCGCACTGCTCGCTTCCGCCGGGGATGACCAAGGACAGGCGACAGGACTGGGAAGGCGGCCTGGCGCGGAACGCTGGGCTGGTCCGGGTAATTGGGAACAGGTCGCGGTAGTTGCGGCTCAGGCAGCCGGCGCAGGAGACACGGTAGGGAGAGCATGATCGGTAAATGGAGATAAACGAGGCCCACATGCCTCATAGCGCGACCCGTTGCCATGGTTCCGTGACGCGGGCCCCAGGACGCCTAGCTGCCGGTCGGCAAAGGACGTGGATTGGAGGAAGGCCAACAGCGAACACTGCGAGTGCCACATGGGGAGTGGAGGCTGAGAATGATAAGCGCGCTCACGATCAGTCGCTAACAGACGCCAGCAGAAAACATACTGCCGAAGACATACCCAGCCAGAGTCCCGCATGTGTGGAAAATCATTTTACATGAAGTGTCTGAGACTGAAATATTGTTGTGGGTACTGACAAACTCTTCAAGCAGCATCGACACGCGCCCGGTTATGGGCCGGAGAACAGCGTCATATTGCACGCTTTAGACGCATTGCACAGAGCTAGAACGTGCCTCGTGCCTCGTTCGCAAAACGACGAATCTCGTCTCCCCGAGACTCGTCAGCACAGCGGCATCTGCTGCTGCTGTTGCTGGTCTCTCAGACGCACGAAGCCCTGCAGCGGCTGCCGCCAGGCACTAGCCAATCCGGCCCACAAACAGCTCAGCCTCGGGGGCGCCGCTCTTTATTGGACGCCGCCGGTGGAGTTAGTGCGAAGCGTGCGGTCACGCCGGCGCGGCCCGGCGCAGCGGGCCGGCACCCGGGACGGGACGGGACTGGCGCCAGCGTCGCCACCGACCGGCCGGCGGCCGGACGGCGGCCGCGGCGACAGCTAAGGCCACTTGGAGTGGGACGGCGGGTCAGCCGCCCGGAGCGGGCGGTCCCGGGCGGTCCTGCGCGGCCACGGCAGCCGGCGCGGCACGGCTCGCGTGAGAATAACACAGGTCGGTTGTACTGGAGACGCCCGGGGCCGGAGAGAGCTGGGACCGGCCCGTGAACCCGCCGGCTCGCGCGACGACTCTTTGGTGCATCTGAACGTGCCGCCCGTGGACGCCGCCAACAAAACGCAACGACAGACGGCGCGTGCACGCGACGCTCCGTACGGGTGAAATAGACAAAATGTGCCTTGGTGTCCGCTACCGTATAAAATATGCGACGCTCAGAGTACAGGAAATCATAAATAACGTCTAATCAAATCAGATTTCGAATGTCTGGAGGAAATAAGACACCGCGCCGGGTAAAAACCAGTACAGGGTAAAAACCAGTCACTCCAAAACACTCCAGATCCACCCCAAACACTTCATCACGCCCGCACGACATGTACGAACTACATGAGTAAAAATAAACAATTCGAACTCTTTGAGAGTATGGAAAAACAATATGCCAAAAACACTGACACGTGTGCTCTTTGATCAGATCCCTCCTAAGACTAGAGAGCCGCGCATCACTTGACTCCGGTTTGTACGACTGCACTCGGTATTAGCTGCCACCTGTTGACATCATCACTAACTACTACTTTCGCTGACACTCGAGCGCCGTCAGCGCCTCCTGTAGAGCCTCTTCAAAACTGCTGTTCTCCACGGGAGATCTGAGGGTGTGAGGCATCATCAGATCGGCAGCAACTTTCGCCGGACCACTACTCAAGCACGAAGGGTGCAGCAGATACGGCTTGAGATCTGCAGCGAAGCACATAGACGTCTGAAGCCAGCGACTGACGAAGAGGGTCGTTGTGAACTGTTTTACATCCAGACTACATCATTTTCACGCACTGCTGCTCATACTATGGAAGCCAAGCACACAAATGTATCGAACATAACGCCCACCCACTAGGCGCAACGGCACGACGGTCGGCGCACGCCGCAAACTAGGGTCAGCCCCCCCCCCCCCCCATTAGCCCGTATACTGCACTCACTTCTTATCTTTGCTGGTGGCGTGGTCGTGAAATTTCCTTAGCTTAGCCGTGTGGTGAAGGGACATGGTGTGATCACCAAACCAGCGCACCCACACCTTGCACGCGTCGCTCGCCTGGAACATAAACACGACCCGTTCAGCAACTCCGATCCACTTTGACTGGGACACGTCATATCACGTGCGCCACTGTCACGCACTACAAGCAGAAAAACACGCAGCCAACAAATACCGTTTGCGACCTCACAACAGATGCCTGGCGCGCCTGAGTCGGGCCACGGAGCTGCCACGATCGCAGACCAGGCGTGGGGAGCAGCACCGGGTCCGTGGGGCGGGAGGGGGGGAGGGTACGGGGCCGGGGAGGGCTCACCTCGACGTCGGTCCGCTCTATGACCTGGCCGGGCCACGAGTCCAGGCCGTGGTTGGAGCCCCACACCAGGTCACCGGCGGCGAACGTCGGCTCCGCGTCCCCGTCTGCCGGCACGCACACACACACACACACGCCCGGTCACGGTCGGAGCCTAACAGAGGTACAGTGGCGAGCGACACCAGCGTACAGTAGCGGGCGGCCAATAGCCACCAGTGTCCAAATTAGTCAGGAGTGTGCTTCACTTTTGAACGACCGTCACAAGGGATACGTGCGTAAGAAACAGACAATAAGGATATCACGGAGGGCCGCTGCCTTGATGTGCAGAGGATGTCACATCGTGTACTAATCAGGCATAATGTGAACAATTCGGTCTGAAGCATGACAGCGAAGTGATTTATTGACGCAGGCCTTTCCTTTCAACTGCCAGTGCCATATCACAGAGAAAGAAAGCAATTTGTGACCATGTAGGACGCAGTGACCTCTGCGTCCTCAGAGTGGGACCGAGGAACTCAGACGGTTCAGGCATAACCATACACCTCAGTAAGTGCTGAATTCCTGTACTTAATGCATCATAGGCAGATGACCGAGACAGCTACTCTAGGTTGGACAGTCGTCCACCCAGTTTCCCAGCGCTGCCAAAGCCAAGAGCACCGCGTCACTTCCACACGGCAGCGACGGCGGGCGGCGACCGTACCTTGGCCGCGCTCCAGTCTTCGTTTGGCGGTGCGCACCGGTCGCTCGTGCTGGCCCTCCTCCGCCGGCTCGCCGGTCGAACTGACCGGCTCGGCGTCCGGAGGTCCGGGCGTGGCGCGCGCCAGTCCGCCCGCAGCCGGCGAACTGCCGCCACCTCCCGGCGTGCTAGAGTCGGCCGGCATGCACTGCTGCTGCTGCTGCGGCTGCTGCTGCTGCTGCTGCTGCTGCTGCTGCTGCTGCTGCTGCTGCTGCTGCTGCTGCTGCTGCTGCTGCTGCTGCTGCTGCGGCTGCCGCGGCGGCTGCGGCTGCGGCTGCGGCTGCGGCTGCTGCGGCTGCGGCTGCGACTGTGGCTGTGGCTGCGGCTGCGGCTGCGGTGGAGGCGGTGGCTGACCAGCGGCTGGCGGCGGCGCTGGCGGTGGCAGGGCCGGCTGTCCACCGTCACCCAGCACGGACACCACCTGTAGCAGGTGGCCGCCCGAGCCGGCGGCCGGTGCCGCCGAAAAACAGCGGCCCCGCCACGTTCTGGATCAGCAGCTGGCCGCCGGCGCCCGGCAGCAGCAGCGGCTGCAGGAAGTTGACGCCCGGTTGAGCCGAGCTGAACACCACCGGCGCTGGCTTCCCGGCCGCGCCGCCCACGAGCAGCGTCGGCACGCCACCCACCACCTGCTGCGGCTGCGGCTGCGGTTGCTGCTGCGGCTGCGGCGGCCGCTGCAGCATGGCGGCCACGGTGGGCGGCGGCCGGCGGCGGCGGCGGCGCGCCGAGGCCTCCGGCTGCGAGCGGGCCGGCTCGGTCTCGGCCGGCGGCTGCAGAAACGTGCCGTTTGGCAGCAGCAGCGGGTTCTGCATCGAGTACGCGTTCACGTACTGCACCATCGGCTGCAGCGGCTGCGTCAGGATCACCTGTCCGGACGGCAGGATGATCTGGCCGGCCGGCAGCTGCTGCATTAGCGGCAGCTCGGCGCCGCCCACCACCTGGTACTGCGGCGGCGCCGGAGCCAGCGCCGGCGGCGTCGGACGCCTCGCCGCCGCCGCCGTCGCCGCGCAGGATGGAGACGGCCGGGCGGTGGCGGCCGGCCGCGTCGTCGTCGTCGTGACCGTCGTCGGGCTGGAGGTGCCGGGCACGGTGCGCGACGGCAGCGGCGGCGACTGCGTGACGCTCGGGTGCTGCGCGCTGCTGACGGCGCCGCGCGTCGGGCCGGCAGCCGGCGCCGCTTCCGCCGACGGCGGCCGCGCCTCCGCCGGCTCCGGCGGTGGCGAGTGAGCTGCCGCCGCCTCCTCTTCCTCCTCCTCCTCGGCAGCAGCCGGCGGCGACGGGGACAGCGCGGCTGCGGAGGAGGCCGCGTCGCCGGCCGAGTCGGCCGGAGTGTGTCTGCCGACGCGGGCCGGCAGCGGGACCGTACTGGCCAGCGGCACCCCGGCCGCCGTCTCGGGCGCCGCTGGACTGAGGCCCTCCTGCATGGTGTCGTTAAGCAGCTGCGTCTGCTGGGCCAGGTAGCCGCTCGGGTCGTCCAGGAAACTGGGCGTGCGCGGGTCGCCGGCGGCGGCGGCGGCGGCGGCCGGCAGCGGCGAGCCGATCAGCTGGCGCACGTCCACGTTGGGACAGGGCGAGCCGCGCCGACGGCCGCGGCCTGCCTGTCGCCGCCGCCGGCGCAGCTCGTCCCAGTGGGCGCGCAGCAGATGTGGAGGCGGCGGCGGCGGAGGCGGCGGAGGCGGCGGCGCCGGCAGCCGACAGGCGGCGCCCGCTGGCCAGCCAGGCGGCGCTGCCGGCACCACCTGCCGCGGCCCGGCCGGTAGCGGCGGCAGGCGCTGCTGCTGCTGCTGCATACCCATCTGCTCCATCGCCTGAGAAACGCAGCCTTTGTTAGTCACTGGTCCAAACGCTTGGATACATGCAGTCTGTCGGCATTCCGCTGACATTCTTCGGTAGTAATCTGCCGGTAAATGGGACGTAAAAATCCCGGCTAACCAGCTTTCGGTAATCTGATTATCGTGGCCTGTTGGGTCGAAGACAGCCGCTGAAGGTCAGTCGTAATCCCTTATCGCTCATAAATATCTGTCCTGAACGGATAAATTCGGCTCGGTGCCCATGTCACCATCAAAATCTTATTCAAGCCAAACAAAGAAACATCCGTCCGACTAAAGCCACATCTTTCTAAACAGTCCGGCAATTTACGTTACGTTCGCGAAACGGACGTCCTAGCGTTCGTTCAACAGCACAGAAATGGTTATGAAAGTAGTAAAACAACATGGGCGCAAAATGACGATTGCAGTCGACGCGCCCGAAAACACTAATAAACAACAATAATGGTAAAACAGCCCAGACACATTCGTTCCCAACCATTTCGAACGAATAGCTCCCATGGCCACAGAAAGCCTGCATAATTTGGGCCTCTTGTCGGCAAAACCTGGGTAACTCTCAGGTGCCAGTGGATGCCAATATCGCGATGCAGTTCTCGCAGGCGTCCCATGACACACCACGTCTGCAGTGGGTGGTACAGGAGCCCATGTCACGAGCTTGTGCGACGCCGCCCAGAACGACACACAACTCGGACCGGGACCATGGTCCGGGACCGGGACCGGGACCACGCGTCCGAGCATGACCTCCGGCAAGGTGTCACAATCCACGGCGTTTAAACCGAACGTCCAGCGCACGGCCATCACCAAGCTAGCAACGCTTCGCCTTTTGCGCCGCCACGCTGCGCTGTTACCGCCACGTTCGAGCGGAAGTCGCGCGCTGCCGCATGCAATAACATTATTTATTGTCTGCCGGCACGGTTAGCCGCCCACTCCGGAAAGCGACCCCCGGCAGCTCCTAACATCAGAGGCCCACACCCACGCTATCCCAGCCGCCGTCTGGTCACCGCGCCCCCAGCCTCCGGAGCGGGTCGGAACGTTCGAAGGAGGTCGGGGGGCCGACGGCGGCCGACAGGCAGCGGCGGCAGATGGCGCTAGCGGCGCGGCGCCGGGTCGGCACCTGGCGCCGGGGCCGCCGGCTGCGCCAGGCCGGCCGACAGCGGCGCGGCCGTCCATCATAAATCAGGCGGCGGGCAGCTTCATTAAGCGGCGACGGGACGTCATGGCGCCGTGTCGCGGCGGCCGCCAGGCGGGGCAGGCGGCCGGCCGCGAGCCGCCGCCCGCCGTAGCACCTGAGCCAGCGCCCACACCTGAGGCTCAAGCTGCACCGCCACGCCGGCACCGCACCTGACGGCCCATACCTGGAGGGGCGGCCACCGCAGCCGACGCAGCCGACGCAGCCGAAACCGCTCCCGACGTACGGCGGTGCATATGGCCGTCAGAGCCGCGAGCTGCCTGCGCGATCCGGAGCCGCCCCACGTGTCTGGGACCCGCCCAGGCTCGTAACTGGCTGCCCGACGGCACCGGGCGTCTCGTCCCTCCGCCCGGAGCGCGGCTCTCACTGCCAGACATCAGTCCTGCCGGCTCGCCTGGCCCAGCCGAGCGCCGACGCCTCTCACCTGCAGCATCTGCTCCCGGAAGAAGGGGTTGTTGTGCGGGTTACAGCGCTGCTCCTGGAAGGTGGGCGGCACATCTGCGGACACATCAGTAGGGGCGTCACGCACGAGACCGAGCTCGGACACCGGCGCGTCACGCACAACTCATACGCTTGTCAAAAGAAGCCGGATCAAGTGACTCACGCGTGCCAGGAAGCGAGTCACGGGCCAGTGAAGAAGGCACGGTGAGGTCACCCGGGGGCTCGCCGCGGCCGCCCGCGCTCTCCGCGGGAGTCAGACGGTAGGCACTGACGCGCCGCCGCCGCGTACGGCCCGGCGGGGCGCGGTGAGGCACGGCTCCGCAGGCGCCGCCGTGACGGCCCGGCAGCCGGGCCTGTCACACGGGCCGCCACACAGCCGTGCCGCCTATCGGGGCCACCCGCGCGCCCGCCCGCGACCTGCCGGTGCGCGGCACTCCTGCTGCCGCAGCGCGGGGGCTCCAGACGGCGGCGGCAGTCGGAGACGCCAGTGACGTGCGCTGTCAAAACGGGGCTTTGCGGCGCGGCGGCCGCTTCGCTGATTTGCCTACAGAGGCGACAAGGAGACCACGTCGTTTTAATCCGGCCGTTACCGATGGCTGAGCTCCGTGGCGGTGTGCGGCGGGCGGCGGATCACCGGGATCGGGTGGAGACCGCCCCGGCGCGTGTCAGCCTAGCCGGGCGAACGGCACGCCGGTGGCGGGCCCAAGGGGGCAAGCGAAGCGGTCCGCCAGCACGCCGTGGGCAGACGCCCACACTGCGACTACACTCCAAAGATCGGGCTGAGACAGACCCCCGCTCCAGGCAGCCACTGCCGGATCCGGAGACTGTCGAGAGACCGCCGGGACACCGCCCGGACATCGTCGCAACCGCATCAGGCGGCTATTGGTACACCGCCACAGGATCGTCGGGAGACAGGCAAGAGGTCGCAGCCACCGGGAGACCTCCGGGAGCTCGTCGGGAGCCTACGAAGACACGGTCGGACGCCGGCAGTGGCCGTTATCTGGCGTGGCATCGCCAACCCGGCAGCGCATTAACAGGCGGCGGCCGTGCGCGGCGGCCGCCGCCCGGCCGGCCGCCGTTTTTACCCGCGGCTTTTTGTGCGTGGCCGGCGGCGCTCTTATGACGGGCGCGGGTTTCAATCAATCGGCGGCGGCTGCCGACCGGCCGGGCGGCAGCCACCCGGGCGGCGGCGGCGGGTCGCGAGCGGCGACACAGCGGCCCGCACAGCGGCCGATGCGCCCGGGGCGGCGGCGGCGCCAGCCGCCCGGCCCGGGCCGTTACCGGCGCTGCGAGCGGCCGGCTCGGCGCGATGCTATCGGCTTCAATTAGCCGCCGAGTGGGCCTGTTACTGCGGAGGCGCAGCTGCCGCCGGAGCAGCTTGACAAAACACTGCCGGCCGCGACAAATGGCCGGCGCGTGGAGCGACGCCGCCGGCTCGTGCCCGCCCGGCAGCCGGCCCCCGGGTTCGACAGCCGACGGCCGCGGCCGTGGCGGGACGAGGCGCTGAGCTGTGTCCGCTTAGAGGCCGCCACTGGCACGACAGACCGTGACCAAGGACAGGTGCGAGCTGGTGCCCTCACCAGGCGTGAATGTGTCCGCCGCGAGGGCTAACTAGTCTCCTGGTGGCTCATTTGCCGTAAGTGGAGTCAGTGGCGATGTAGCGTGCCAAAAGAAATACGTGCAGAGTACGGAGAAGAGAACGCCATTTTTCGCCGACTAGACCTGCAAACGAATGAAGCGGTACCATTTAATGCATCAACGTAGTGTGGCGGACAACGGTGACGCTAACACAAAATGTCCCAATACAATGGTCCACCGCCAATCAAAAGCGCGGGAACCGCCCATGTACGACTCGGGTAACGGATTACGCCACGCAAACGACGCGGAAGCTAGTCCGCAAACGCTGCCGCACGATGCCTTCGTAACGGCAGTGAAAGGTGCAACAGCCTGCACCCGGACCTGTATGTGAAGTTGTGGTCGGGCGCGAGCCACACGGCGCGCACGGCGCTCACAGTCCCGCGCCGCTGCCGCGCGGTACGGCACGTGGTGGTGTTGGGGGGGGGGGGGGGGGGGGAGCGCGACCGACGGGTAAAGCATCCGAAGCGGCGGTGTTTGGCGGGCGTGAAGATCGCGATGCCGCGCCGCTGGTGACGTCCGGCCGCCGGTCGACGCCAGAGGCATGGCGTCAGAAGACGGCCGGCTGGACCCCCGGTGGCCCACACGCTGTCCCGCGCGTGACCGTCAGCTGTTGGATTGGCCCCGTGGCCCTCGCGCTGCTGGTGTAGCAATGACCATCCGACTTCTGGCAACCGGCCGGTGGCCGTCAAACTTCCACCGCTGGCCAGTGGTTGTCAAACATCTAGCGTCGGCCTGCGCCCGCAACACCTGCCGTATCCCAGCCAGCGGTCATCTGAGTGAGGGTGGCCGGCGGCGGCTGTCACACGGTCTTGGTTCAAACCGCGCCGGCGCGAAGTCGCCAATCGCTGACCCTTGCAGCCGCTACGCCCGCCAGCTACGCGACGCAGGACGCATCTCGGAGGAGCGGTTGCAGGTGTGCGTGTCTGTGCGTCTGTGAGTGCATTCCCAACAGACCGACGTGAGTGACTTGAACACGCCTGAGGCTCACCGCGACGGTGGCGAGAACGCGGCGCGGCAACGACACGGAAGCCAAAGTGAAGCGACCCGACCCAAACGGACCGGCTGCGGTAAGACGCACGCCGCCGGGAAGCACGCGCGACGTCGCACACCGCACGCACACCACCTCTCGAAGCTGGAGCATACGTCCCAACGCCTCACACCTCTGAAGCATTTCAGCCCATCTGCCGCTCACTTATGTGTCAGCTGCCAATCCGTTTACCGTCAAGACAAACAAACGGCGGCGTTCACCTCCTCAAGCCTCTCTCCGTCGCGCAAAAAGCGCTGCTCGCCGACGACGGCGCGGCGCGGCGCCCAGGCCCGCCGCTGCCCTCCCAAGGCCCCTCGCTGCCCTCGCGAGCCACCCGGACCCGCCGCGGCCCTCTGGGAGCCCAGTTCCGTCGCTGCTTTCTGGGAGCCACCCATGCCCGTCGCTGCCCTCTGGGAGCCACCCACGCCCGCCGCTGCCTTATGGGAGCCACCCAGACCGCAGCAGCCCTCTGGGAGCCACCCACGCCCGCCGCCGTCCTCTGGGAGCCCCCCCCCCCCCCACACCCGCCGCTGCCCTCTGGGAGCCACCCACGCCCGCCGCTGTCCTCTGGGAGCTCCCCACGCCCGCCGCTGCCCTCTGGGAGCCACCCATGCCCGCCGCTGCCCTATGGGAGCCACCCACGCCCGATGCTGCCCTATGGGAGCTCCCCCACGCCCCGCCGCTGCCCTCTGGGAGCCCCCCCACGCCCGCCGCTGCCCTCTGGGAGCCACTCATGCCCGCCGCTGTCCGCTGCGAGCCCAGACCGCCGGCCGGCCGCCGCTTTACTGCCGCTTGGTCGGCTGCCGATCCGGCGGCGTTTTTGCCGCCGCCGCCGCCGCCGCCGTCCAAACACGGGCTTTGTTCGGTCAGACCACGGCGCGAGTACCGCCGTCGCCGCCGCAGCAGCAGCATCTGTCAAACACACCGCGACGCCAGGTACTCCGCGCCGGCGGCCGCCACGCGCCGCGCTTTCACACACATGCGGCCGCCCCGCGCGCCGGCCGGCGCACCTGACGATCGATGGCGTCCCCTCCGGACCGGGGGGGGGGGGGGGGGCGTCACGGGCGCGTGACGGCCGCCGGCGCGAGGGAGCCCACCTTTGCGGGCGTCGGGCGCCGGAGCAGGGCCGGCTCGTTTCCGCCGGTGTTTTGCAGTAATTGGTGGCCTCGCGGGCTGTCGGAGCCGCCGGCGGTTGCTCCGAGGTCGGGTGATCACCTGTCGACGCAGGGGGCCGGTCAGCCGTGGCAGGCTGTCGTGACGGAGAGGGCCTCGGCACAAATGACGGCCGAGCGCGAGTTACACGGGGCCCGAGCGGAAAACGGACGTCAAAAAAAAAAAACGTCGGCCGTGCGGGCGTCAGAAACACGGAAGCGTCAGGACGTGGGCTGACCGTTGGTGGCGAGTGGTAGGAGTCATACCAGAAGTTGACACGGCTCCCGGGTAACGAAAGAGCAAAAAGCGGTTAAGAGATGCTTCAGAAACGTTAGCTGGAACTCTGCGGGTCACAGAACGGCCCGCGGGGCAATGAACACCAACACTCAAGGGTTCACAATGGCGTTGGCAAAAATTGATGAGAAGCAGCGACCGATATGAGATTTACCTACATCACTACAGGCGGGTCACGGAGAAAACAGCTGAAACAAACCACTAACGTGCACATTTTCGCGACTCTCGAAACATTCAGCACAAAAACAAAAAGGGCACTCCCGTGGGTACCCGTGTTCTGTTAGCGTCCACTCTTCGTCCTGTTAAGCGGGCCGTCCAGACTCAAAAAGCCAGCCTGCAGAAACGTGATCGTGTTGCTAAAACAGGCCGGCGCCTATCTGGCGGCACATCGAACGTCCACAAATTGTCCGCCGCGCTGCAGCCGTGCAGGCCGCGGCCGCCGGTGCAGGCCGACATGTCCACGAGCGCCGGACGTGGCGAACTGGCCGGGGGTACCGAAGCCGCCCGACACGGCAGCGCCGCGCCGGGGCCGGCCGCGATCCGACCGGCGGCACTGCGGCCGCGGTGGCTGTGGCTCCCGTGGCTCCCATCCGCCCCGTAGCCGGCTCTGCCGCCGCGCCGCGCGCGGGTCCACACCGCGGCCCGTCTGGCGGCCGCGGCGGCGGCGGCGGTGATCTAGGCGGCGAAGAGGCGCGCGGCGCTCGGGAGGGGCGGCGCCATACCCTGGCCGGCCGATGCGCTTTCAGCTCGCTCCGTCGCCGGGGCTGGCGGCCTCTCTGTTCGCTTTGTGCGGCGGGGCCGAGGGAGCGGCGCGAAACGCCCGTCGGCCGGGCGTCAATGCCGCCGCTGAGAGCACGGCCTCGTCTTGCGCGCGGGGAGCATCCCGCTTTGTCGCCGCCCGGGAGCACCACTCAACTGTCCGCCGGGTGTTTTACTGATCAAGCGCCGCTTCAGTCGGCGGCAGAGACTGCGAGCCCTGTGACCCTCGCTGCTACATGCTCTGAAAGGCGGCCCGGCGGGGAGCCTTGAGACGTCAGTGGAGCCACCGTCAGACAGCACCTCCGGCAGATTCGAGTGGATAAGCGCGTCCAGTAGCCAGATTTGTAGCGCACACGAAACACGCAACACAGTGGCGTCGGGTCCGCAGACCACGAGCGGGTCAGCGGGGGCCCGCCAGCCGTACCGTGACGGCGATCCATCGTCGGAACCGGGTCTGCGGATCACCGGAGCCATTAGCGGGAGCCGGCCGCCGCCCCACCCGCGGCGCGCCGTCACAACAAGCGGTGTCACCGGCACCGAGGCCCGCCGCCTCCAGACAAAAACAGCGGCCCGATGTGGCCGGCGGAACAACAGGCTAGCGAGGGGACTGCCCGCGGCACCGTCGGCCGCCTGACCGGACGCAAGGCCGCGGCGCCCCGGGCGACAAGCAACAGGTCAGGTCAGGTCAGGGTCAGGTTCAGGTCAGGTCGGCCCAGTCGGACAGCCGGCGGAGCCGGAATGCCGGGCCGCGGACGGCGCTGGAGAGACGGCCGGGTCTCCACCGTAATCAGCATCGGAAATACGCACGGCGCAGAGTGCGACGGCCGCCTGGGCAGGCCGGCGCTACCACCAGAAGTGCGCGCATTCACGACGGTACACTGCCGGCTGACAGGAGACGGAGATGCACGGTTCCCGTCGCGTCACACAGCACACAGCGCGGCACCCCACACCGCGCGCGGAGATAACGGACGCAATCTTTCCGGAGAGGTGCCCAAGTTCGCCGCCCCGCGGTCGGATTAGGCCATTCCGTCACTCCTGAGCGATGGCGAACATCAGCTCAAATGACCGCGATGTTAATCGCGCCACTCAGGCTCGAAGAACACCGACTTCCAAATGGCTCGACTGCGCGAAGCCCGCACGCCGCATCAGATAGCGGCGGTGGGATTGAGAGACGGCGCTACCGCCGATCACTAGCCGATAGTGTCTAGAGCGGGCGGCGCGCTGACGAGCCGACAAACCGCGAGCACCGGCGAAAGATCCTACCCCCGTCGCCGTGCTGGCTCTGGGTCTGGCGCCGGGGCACGCCGGAGCAGCGGGGCCGCAGCGAGCCGCAGCGCGCCCCGCCCGCCGCTCCAGCCGCCGCGGCCGGACCATGCGCTCATAGGCCGCACGACGTGCGGACGACGTGTTCCGGTCCGCGGGGCGCGCTGCATCAGCACACGCGGCCCAGACGTACCCACCTTCGGATCGAAGTTGAACGAGCGCTCCACAAGAATGGGGCACTCGAGACCGCACTTGCAGGTGCCAGCGGTGCGCAGGTACTGTCGCGCCTCCTCCACGGAGGTCAGGCTGGCGCCGCTCGGACTGTAACAAACACGGGACAGGTCAGCTCAGGTCACGACAGCTCAGGTCAGGCCGGTCCAGCTCAGGTCAAAACAGGCCACTCCATCACATGTCAGGTCAGCGCCCCAAGCCGTGCCACGCAGAATATGCTGCGCCGCTAGCACGGGGCGGGGACGTCGGCGCGCGCACAGGCTATGCAGAGGCGGCGGCGGTCGCAATGCCCCGGCCGAGAGGTGCGGCGCGCCGCCTCCCCCCCCCCCCCCCTCCCCCCGTCTGCACAACCTGTCTGTTGTCAGGTGCATCTAATGGGCACGTCGTGGCCGTTTAGCGCACGACGTCCGGTTGCCTTTGGACGCCGTCCAATCGCAGGCCATCAGCATCCCGACCTTTGACGTCGACTTCCGGCGGCGCACGAGATCTGGCCGGTGCCGATACACGAGCCATCCGCCATGAAATCACGAGCCGTGAGCGGTCTCTCCAGCGCTCCCACTCGCATTCCAGTGCTCGAGACGGACTTGCCAAGTGAAAGCGCGCATGCGTGAGCGTCGCCGGCCGGAGCTGAGTCGCAGCAGCAGTCGCGCCTTATCGTGCCGGCCTTGCTGTCACGCATCGTGCGCTTCCGTCACGCACGCGGCGCCGCGCAGCATCGACAGACGTGCGGAGCGGAGCGCGCTCTCGCCATCGTTCAGACTTTGTCGTTGCCGTGTCTGGGTTTATTTTTCTGTGCTTGGCATTTGTGTCCGTGACAGATGTGGCGTTTCCGGCATCAAATGAAAAACCACGCGCAAGGCTTGCTTAAACCATTGGCAACCCAATACTTCATTGTCATATTTCGCCGGAACTGGGATAAGATAAGACAACAGTTCGGAAGGCAGATCGCCATCCAGGCTCATGAGCGCCCGCGGTCGGATGGGAGGGGGGGGGGGGGGGCAGCCCGCTCCAGACAAGCCGGTCAGCCCCACTGGCAGCCCGGACCCCAACACAGCACGGACCTGTCCAGTCATACTGCTGGCCCGGCGCTGACCCGTGACCCGGGCCACGGCCAGCCCCGCCGGCCGTAACTCCCGGTCACGGTCAGCCCCGCCAGCCGTGACTCCCGGCCACGGCCAGCCCCGCCGGCCGTAACTCCCGGTCACGGTCAGCCCCGCCAGCCGTGACCCGGCACCCGGCCGGACTGCACCCCGGTGCTGACCCGTGACCCGAGTCACGGTCAACCCTGCCGGCCGTGACTCGGGTCACGATCAGCCCCGTCGGCCGTGACTCGGATCACGGTCAGCTCCTCCGGCCGTGACTCCCGGTCACGGTCAGCTCCTCCGGCCGTGACTCGGGCCACGGTCAGCCCCGTCGGCCGTGACTCGGGTCACGGTCAGCTCCTCCGGCCGTGACTCCCGGTCACGGTCAGCTCCGCCGGCCGTGACTCGGGCCACGGTCAGCTCCTCCGGCCGTGACTCGGGTCACGGTCAGCCCCGCCGGCCGTGACTCGGCACCCGGCCGACCTTGGCCACCCCCACGGCCGCCGCCCGTAAATCGGCGCCGGCGCGGCCTCGGCCCGCCGCCTCAGCAAATTTAACTGCTCTATCACGCTAATTAGCCTTTGATAGATGGCCGGCTAAGACTGAGGATTGTCTGCACGCTGACGCCCACCACTGGGCCCCAGCGGGGCGGCCGGTGCACCGTCCGCTGGCCACCGGCTGCGACCGGCCAGCCTGACACTACGCTGGACGGCCGCGCCCGCTGGCGGGCACCCGGCCGGGTGGGATGGGCGGGGGGGGGGGGGCGGCTGAGATCGAAGCCATGTCCACGTCACACTTAACCGTTGTGTGACGGGCGTTTAACGTACGAGACGCTGTAGAAAGCTTGTCGGACAGCGTATCAGCCTGACAGCGGGCATGGCGTGTTTTGCATACACGGCGGGAGCCGCACCGAGCTCGACGCCGCTCTCCGCGAGGTCATTCCAACACGTGAACATCCGATGCTGACACGGCGCCGCTTCGACAGGCGCTTCCCTGACAAATGCCGAGCGAAGCCATCTCTGCCCGCGACCGATCACGAGTGCTGGTCGCGTTCCGCACGCCTCAAGCGCTGAGCGGACCTGGACGCTCGGGTCACCGAGCCCCGCCCGGGAGGTCACCGAGCCCCGCCCGACACCGAGCCCCGTCCGGCAGGTCACCGAGCCCCGCCCATCACCGAGCCCCGCCCGGCAGGTCACCGAGCCCCGTCCGTCACCGGCGCCAACCCCGCGCCGAGCCCCGGACCGCGCGCGATGCGACAGCACTGCTGGTCGCGCCGGCTGCGTCACACCGCGATTCCAGCAGTCAGCGCGGCGGCGCGGCGGCTCCCTGGCGCGGGCCCCAGCGCCAGGGTCGGCCCGGCCAGCGCGACCTTCCCGCCGCCGCCGCCTGACTCACCAGCCTTGATTACGGCCGTGTCCGGGCCTCCGCCAGCATTACCCAGCGGCGCCATTATGCTTCTCATTATGGGCCGGCGCTATAAAAGGCGGGCCAGCGGCGGCGCGCCGCCGGCCGCGCCGGCCGTGACGCCGCCGCGCGTCGCCCGATCGCCGGCCCCGACAAAGGGCGCGCCCGCGCCGCCGCCGGCGGGGCGGTGCCGGCCGGGCGTGACCGTGACCGCCGCTGACCGGCGGCTCGCGCGCTTCCGGGGCGCGGCGCGCCGCCGCCCGGCCGGCCGCGCGCCAGGGCGTCGCGCCGGCGCCCATCTGATGCGGCCGGTCGCGGTCGCCGCCTATGGTAATCGCCGCCGCCGCGCCGCCCCGCTCACAAACACGCCGACGCAAACAGGCGCTGCTGCGCTCATGCTCCGGCGCGCACACAATCCCGGAGACGCGCCGTGGCCAGCCAGCCCGGGTCACTCCTAGCTCTGAGCCGGGCCGGTGCAGCGGGCCACCGGCGCGGCGGCTCGCTGCGGCCAACCGCCCGCCGCCGCGCGGCCGGCGCCGGCGAGGGTCGGGCCGCGCCGCCGGGCCGTCCGGCCGAGTCATCGGAGCGGCGGCTCGCAGCGCCCTCGCCGCGCCGCCGCCGGCTCTGTTTGCGAGCTGGTGTTTGCCCGGCGTCAGAGTCGGAAGACGGCCGCCGCATCGCCATCGCGGCGTTGTTACGCCTGTGTCCGCGTCACCGGCTGACGCGCCGGACAGCCCA